AGTTCTTTAGATTTATATGAGCACAAGGTCTTATCTTAGGTTTGTACCACTAATACTGATTTATATTCCTTTATATAACTTATGCATTGTACAAATGCCCATATTCTTCCAATTTTGTTGATATAACCAAGGTTACAAAGATCTCATTTCAACCGATCATCAAAAGACAATAGCTGTCATACAAGCAAATATTCGAACTTTCGCTATTAGTGAGTTTCAAACCCCCACCTGCCAATTTGCTGCTTGGAAGTGCGACAACTTAACCACTTCACTAAATCACCACACTCTATAATATTTTTTTTAAAAAAAATAAATACATATTAAAATAATATAAACAATAATGACTATTTTCATTTTAGACAGTGGGTACATAGATGTATCTATAGACTACAGATAGTTACCCAAAATAGAAAACATTATGCAGATAGGCAAACAAAACAAATAACTGAAACAATATAATGATGACATACCTTGATTTCCATAAACTGCTTAACAATACTTTGAGACTACCTTAAATTACTCTGTTTAGTTTTTCTAATTTAATTTATAATATTTTTTTTCCTAATAGGTTTTTTGATATAGATATATATATTATTAGGATAGAGTTAGATATGGAGCTTCTTTATCTTGTAATATGTAATTTTTAAAAACCTGATACAAGCTAATAATTGTAACCTATCAGATTCTTTTTTCTTCATTTTATTTTCCTTCTCCCCTTTTTAGTTTTAATTTTAATGTTAGTATTTTTTTTTTCAACTTCCTTATAAGAAGATGTCATCAAATTGGTTATATCCTATTGTAGGCTGGTGGTCTGATGGTGCCTTCTGAGATAGTTAAATTGCTTTAAAACTTAGTGTGATGTATCTCTTGTAGATTTATCTGCCCAATGTGGTCAGTCACTTGTAAGTGCTCTTAAAAGTAACTGTGGGATGTCAAACCTAAATATTATAATTACGTGTAGTGCTCTTTGTTTACCGACAAATTGTTTATAATAAAGGATATTGGCAAGACAGCCAAAGTGGAAAAAAAATTTTAGGAATTGTTAATAAATATAATAAAACATGAAAAGAATATGTAAGTAATCAAATTTAACTAGGTGGAAAGCAAAATTCAAATCGTACATAGATGAAATATATAAAGCTCTGGTAGGTAGATAAATTAGTCAAGTTTCTGTAGATATACAATGTAATAATGGCATGTAGTCAAATAAAGATATTTGTAGCAAGCCTTCATCTTGAAATAAATACACAAAAGCAGGTTCCTAAAACTTTAGTATAAAAATTTGCACGCTTTATAGTTTTAGAAATACTTCAAAGCATATCCGATTTAATGCTTCGAGTAATATTTATTAAATACTCCAAAGTAGTACTTATAAAGTTTACTTTGTAAAAGTATACTCTGGTGTGGTGTTGGAGGTTTACTATGCTAAAGTATACACACCCCCATTAACATCCCTAATTTTACATTTTTTTTATAGTAAAACTAATCACCAATCATCACTTCTGACTTTAAATTTTAGTGACTATAACACGAGTTATTAACCAACAATAACATTTAAGTTTAAATACCAAACGTCTATTTCGTTTTATCCTTTATTAAAATCGGAAAAAATTAAAAAGTAATTCACTAGTATACACCTCAATTTTCCTAAGTTCCTCCCTATACATTTATACATACATATACTTAAAATTGTTATTCAATCTTGAGTTTTGTTGGTGGGGCTAAAATGGTGATTATAATTTAATTAGTGGTGATTTAAAAATAATTTAATATAAGAAATACCGTATAAAGTGACATACCAATAAAGTTCCGACTGATATATTTTAGTACCTCATCGATTATGATAACAGGGAACGACATTAGTACCACGGCAGCCCATTCTGTCGTGTTTAGGGGTACAATTTCGAAAAGTTTCTATGAAAAATTAAAATGAAATAATTACTTATTAATTACTTTTTTTAGGATTATTAAAATAAAATGAATAAAATAAAATGAACTTTACCGAAAAGAATGGCACGTATAATATCATGAAATGTAAGGCCATTGAAAGGAAGATTGAAAGAACAAGGTAAAGATTACTCCATACGGGTAGTGTTAGTAAACTTTCGTTCTCGCTCAAAGAATTTGTAGCATTAAACATTTCAATAGTGACAAGCACTGAAAGCGACATTGTGGTAGCACGACTAGCCATAATGTTTGTGAACATTTCACAGCCAATCTCTGGGAATAGATCACTGCATTTGTGAAAGTTTGTCTTTAATAAAGAAAAATGTAATTAAAATTAATAAATTCAATAAACAAATAGATTCAAATGAGTAAAATAAATAAAAAGATTACCAATTGTTCAAAAGAAATCTGAGGACCTTCTGAATAGAACATGAACCACCAAGCATATGCGAACACAGTAGCAGCACCAACATAAGTACCAACAACCATATAGCGGAAAAATAGCCATTTTCCAACAAAAGGTTCTCGAGAATTTCGAGGAGGACGGCGCATAATTTCATGATCCGCAGGATTGAAACCAAGGGCAGTTGCAGGAAGACCATCAGTTACAAGATTTACCCACAAGAGTTGGACGGGAATAAGAGCTTCTGGCATACCAAGAAGAACTGTAA